TTACCCCAATTATGTAAAAATCATCAAAATAAATAAAACTTTAAAAAGCAAACAATCTCTTGCTTGCTCTTGCTCTCTATAACTCTGCCTTTCACATAAATAAATCTTTTTAAAAACAATACCACCAAGGGGGCTGGCATTGTGTCAGAGCAGATAAAGCCGCTGCTTACAATGCTGGCATCCATATCAGTGCCTGTTCAAGCCCAGTTGCTCCACTTTCCATCTCTGGACCTCTGCTACCCACTTGGCTTTGGCCTGGCCCAGTCCTGGCCATTGCAGCCACCTAGGGAGTGAACCAGCAGACGGAAGAGCTTGCTCCATCTGTCTTTCTCTAACTGTGATTTTCAAACATATCTTCCAAAAAACTAAAAGTAAAATAAAAATCACCACCAAAAAAGAGAGAAATGAACAAAGGATATGAACAGATAATTTCCAAAGGAGAAAACAGAAATAGCCAACAGAGACATGAAAAAATATTCCCTAGTTATTAGCAAAGTGCAAATGGAAATCACAACGAGGGATATCACCTCCCCCCAGTTAGACTGGCTACCAACTAGAACTCAAACAGCAGCAAACGCTGACCAGGATGTGAAGGACAGGGAATGTAAACTAGTATTACTGGTATGGAACACAGTATGGAGATTTCTCAGAAACCTGAAAGTACATCTTGCTAGCTTACTCCTGGGGATGTGGACAAAGGAAATAAAATCAGCACACAAAAGTTACCTACACTCCCATGTTTATAGCAGCTTAATTCACAATAACCAAGACAGAGAATCAACCAGATGTCCATCAATAAATAAAGAAAATGTGGTATATATACACACAATGGACCATTATTCATCCATAAAAAAGAATAAAATTCTGGCATTTGCAACCAAGTGATTGCAACTGGAAATCATTATGCCAAAAACCAAACAGGAAAGTCACATATTCTCTTATTTGTAGTGAATAAAAATTATGTGGATGTTGGCTCATTTGATAAGTAGCTATAAAGGTTATTTTGTTAAATTGTGTCATGTAAATGACATGCTAGTTTCAAATGTTAAAAAAACAAAAAGAAATGCAGGGGGAATAGTGGTGACTCTTCAAGTTCTAACAACGTGGTTCCTTGGTTTGAGTGTTGGTTATGGGGTGATCAGAACAAAAACTCATGTACATTTAAATGCATTTTTGATATGCATACTGTTTTTGATAAAATGTTTTAAAAGGAATAAAGACCTAAGTACAAGACTTGAAACTACTGGGAGAAATACTTCAAGACTTTAGTATAAACAAGATTTTGGGTAATACCGCAGAAGCAGAGACAACAAAAACAAAACAAGACAATGGGAATATAATTAAACTACCAAGCTTCTGCACAGCAACAACCTAGAGGTTGGGAGAAAATGCTAACAAGCTATTCAACTGACAAGGGATTAATATCAAGAAAATATTAAAAATTTTAAAAACCAGGCCCGGCGCGGTGGCGCAAGTGGTTAAAGGTCCTCGCCTTGCACGCCTGGGATCCCATATGGGCGCCGGTTCTAATCCCGGCAGCCCCGCTTCCCTTCCAGCTCCCTGCCTGTGGCCTGGGAAAGCAGTCGAGGACGGCCCAAAGCTTTGGGAACCTGCACCCGGGTGGGAGACCCGGAAGAGGCTCCTGGCTTCAGATTGGCATAGTATTGGCCCGTTGCGCTCACTTGGGGAGTGAATCATCGGACGGAAGATCTTCCTCTCTGTCTCTCCTCTCTGTATATCCGCCTTTCCAATGAAAAAAATAATAAAAATAAATCTTTAAAAAAAATTTTTTTAAAACCATCAAGATGAGAGGCAGAACTAAATTTGATTAAAAAATAAACTAATAGACATAAGCTGTACAAATGGCCAAGAAGTGTAGAAAAAATTTGCAACATCAGTAATCAGATAGACGCAAACCAAAGTCATATATCATCTTGACCCCGTTGGAATGGCTACCATCAGAAAGATGTTTTTTTTAAATGTTGGCAAGGATGTGGAAAACCCCTAGGCTGAGAGCTGGAATGTAAATTAACACTGCTATTATGGAAACCAGCATGGCGCTTCCTCAGAAAGAGCTACCACATGATCCAACGACCCTACGGGCAGCTATACATCCAAAGGAAATGAAGCAGAGAGGAGGAGAGAGGACAGGGATACCAAAATACAGTTGGGGAGGGCAAGTGCTCATGTTCCATGGTACAAAATATGTACAATTTATAACTACCCATTATAAATTCCAAAATAAAGGAGATGCCAATCTGAACTAACACTGATAACATTTGAAGACATAGAACCACATATAGCTGCATTAAATTTTAATACTGTATCCACTCTAAGCTACTGTTGGTGGGAATGTAAACTAGTACAACCATTATGGAAGCCAGCATGGAGAGTGCTCAGACAGCAGAACTGATCTGCCATACAACCCAGCCATCCTGATATGGTCTAGGCAGGCAGCTAGTTCAAAGTCATGAGTCTGGAAGCAGCACCTCCCCAGCCTGTGTGATACTTCTTGCCCCCCATGTGTCTGAGATTGCGTACCCATCATTCCTTGAGACTTGAGTGGACAGTGTTGCACTGTTCTGTGGCCACTCGCCCCTTTCAAACCCTATAAAAGCTCCCGCTGGGAGGAGCTCACTGTCTTGGTTAAGTGCTTCGTCACTAGTGCTTCAGCTCTTCATCGCCCACGTGCTAGGGCTCTTGGCCGCCTATGTACTCACTTTCCTGCTTCCTGTGGACAGACTCCAAGAACAAAAGGTAGCAACCTCTCTCCTTTACCTTTTTGCTTTCTAGCTCACTCCCCTAATAGGGCCCATGCTTATTTATATTCCTCACCCTCTGAATAAACTTTATCACTTGCTTAAGCCATGCCAGTGGCTGTGGTTAAAATGCTTTTTAGGCAAGAGGCAAGAATCTAGGAAATAAATATTTGGCCTAAACCTAGACCACAACAACCCCACTGATTATATATTCAAATGAAATCTGCAGCTGATAGAGAAACCTGCAACCTGTGTTTTATAGAAGCACAATTTACAATAACCAATACATGGAAAGAATCCAGATGCCCATCAACAGAGGAATGGATAAAGAAATTGTGGTACATCTACTATTTGGAATACTACTCAGCCATAAAAAATTAAATCTTCCATTTACAACAAAATGTCAAGCTGGAAACCATTATACTTAGTGAAGTAAGCCAGTCCCCAAAACAACAAATACATATTCTCTTATATGACAGCTAATACATAAAGAATATGTTGTGTAGACAAATAAATATATATACACATATATATGAACTGTACAAGGGAGACAAGCCTACCAGGAAGTAAAGGTACTATACGGTATGCATCTCTACCTGTGAATAAAAGCAGGACCCACAACAAAACTTATAAATATACCTTCACAGTATGATACTAGGTTTTCTCCTTTGCCTAGACTTTTCAGGTCAGGATACATTTAAACATTAGAAAGCTAAACTTGTGATTTGTACTAAGAGACTGCATTATTGTGATAACACAGGAACAAAAGGGGGAAAAAGAAAATGGTAAAGGAGGAAGGGGGAGGGAGGTCTCCCTAAATTTACAACATTGTATCATAGAAAGCAATTTAAAAAAAAATACAGTACTCAAAATAAATACAACCATGTCTATTCATCTTTGATTAACTTAAAAATTAGATGCCACTTTTTTTCCTGTGCAATGCCAAGAACATTTGTTTTTTGTTATATTTATCATCAGGAAAAGCATGGAAAGGACAATCCTGTACACTTAAAAATTAGAAAATCCTTCTAGAAAACAATTAGGCAACTTGTGTCAAAACCTGCTGAAACTGTATCCCATATCTCTGTAACTCTGCTCCAGCAATGACAGGCAAGCACACAGCTCCACGGATCAGAAGAAAAACTACAAGTTGCATGCCTGATTCACTTACACGCCAAGCTTTGCAGTCAAATTCCAGCCTTTGAGAAAGTATGAGAATGTGAAGAACCGCTTTTGGTAAGGCTTAATGGCAAAAACTACAAGGTTACACATTGGATGCTCATACCTTTGTAAAAGTATATGCGCCACAGAGAGAGAGAAAGATGGAAGGAAATGCATACAGATATGTCAGGGCAGGCATTGGGCACAGTGACGCAGGACATCCACATTTTGCTCGCGCCCGACTTCTCTGCTTCAGCTCCATTTCTACTCGCATAGAGCCCCTGAGATAGCAGATCCCAGAGTCGCTGCCACCCACGTGCAAGGCTGAACGGAGTTGTGAGCTCCTGGCTTCCACCAGGTCTAAAAGCCTTGACACTGGGGACGCTTGGGATGCAACTCCTCACTTTGCCTTGCCAGTATTTTCCAGGTGCATTCATTTTATCATTACAAACAACAGTAAAAGAATGAAGCCCCGTGCCAATTCTCTAAAGCACATAGCTTCCCCTTCTAGCCCTCACCTGCCGGCTCCAGATTCGCCTTTACAGTAACCAAACACCAAGTTTGGGAGCCTTGGAGATACCAAATGCAGCCAGCAGATGTCGCTGGCACCCCGAGGGACAAGCCCCGTGCCCGCCTGAGACCAGGCGCTTTCTCCCGACCCGGGTGGAGTGGGAGTGAGGGTGCACCCCGGGGGCGTCGTCTTTCATTATTCTTTCTCAAAGGCAACTTTCGTTGCCCCCCCCCCCTTTCCTCTCAGCCCACATTTGCCTCGAGGCCAAGCTGCAGAGGGACGACAGAAAGGAGCCAGGGGCGCCCCGGGGGCCCCCACGTTACTCAACAGGCCCCCTTGGGTGGTGATATTCAGGCACAGGTCGCTCGTGCCAAGCTGGGCACAGGACGTGCCCGCCGAGCCGTTTCTGACACCGTCAAGACCCCTGGTATCCGCCCCGGCGCCGCGGAGGACCTGAGGGGGCTGAGGCGGCTTCCCGAAGCCGCCAAGGCAGGGCGCGCGGGGCAGAGGACCGGGGGCCTCGGGAGGTTCGAGGGGACCTGGGGACCGGGCAGCCTGGGGCCGCTCACCCGCTCGCGTTCCTTGGCGTTGGCCACGCGTCGCCGCTCCAGCACCAGCTGCAGGTCCTCGGTGGACGAGTAGCCGCCCGAGGGCCGCCGCTTGAGCCGGCAGATGGCAGCCAGCTGCGGCAGCGGCCCAAACTGCTCGTGCAGCACGTCCTCCAGCACCTCGGCCTGCGGGGCGCCCAGGGGTGCGGGCAGCGCGGCGTCCATGGCGGTGCGCCCAGGCCCACACGCCCCGGCCTTTCACCTGCGGCCCGGGGCGCGCGAGGCCCTCGGGGCGGGGCCGGCGCACCTGCGGCTGTCCGCGCGCTCCGCAGGCCGGCCCCTCCCCGCCTTGCCCCGCCGGCGGCGAGTCACCCAGCCGGTCCTCACTGTAGATTGCCTCCCGAAGTCCTCTCCACCCCCCACGCCCCCAGGACGGCTCGTTTTCTTGAATCCCCACATCGGGACACCCATCCCTCAAATTTTGACTAAATCAGACCAAGCAGGGGCTGCAAGTTTCCACAAAGACACCCATCTGAGAGCATTTCAAACGGTTTGTGGAAAGTGGAAAGTTTATTTCCACATGTATACGAGGAGTCTACAGAATAATGGAAATAGTATTACCAAAAAAAAGAGATGGATTTCAAAGATACTTGCATCAAAATTTACATCTTTTAGTTATTTTCTCCATGAACTTTTTAAGTTACCTCCAGATTGTATGCAAATACATATTTATAAGGGAAAATGCGTTGGCAAAGCACAACATATTTTCAAATTTCGTTTTGAAAGAAATAAAAGTGACAGAAAAGTCACAAGAACGAAGCCAAAGGGCTCGCTGTTTTCTGGATCCCCTGCTCGTGAACCGATGTCTATGAACAATCCCGTGGGCATCACTGTTGTGGAGCTGTGCCTTTTCTCAAGTGTGGGACTTACAGGCATGAACAAGGCAGGAAGTTGGGGGTCATACTGGACCCCCCCCCACTGCCCCATCCCCATCCAGATCCTGCTGGCCACCCCAGCAACACCCCCAGAAATCTCCCCCTTTCCAGTTGGGTCTCATCCCGGAGTGTATGTCTTATTTTGTTGTCCTGTCTCTTTATCAACCTCACCCTGAAATATTCCCTGTCCTTGGGTCTTGTAGATGGTAAAATGTCTTGACAAGTGGTTTCTGCTGTAACCATCTGACTGGTATTTTTCTGGGTCTCATTAGAGGGAAATGAAGGGGCTGGTAGATGCCATTTTAAAGTAAAATTGCCAGGGCTGGCATTATGATACAGAAGGTGAAGCCACTGCCGGTGATGCTGGCATCTATAGGAGCGCCCATTGGAGTCACGGGCTGCTCCGCTTCCTATCCACCTCCTGCACATGGGAAAGCTGGGACACCAGATGGAACTCCAGGCTCCTGGCTTGTGGCCATTTGGAAAGTGAGCCAGCAGGTGATAGATCTCTTTCTCAGTTTTCTCTCTTTTTTCCCCTAACTCTGTCTTTTAAACAAGTGCATCTTTTTAAAAACAACGCCCCTAAGTGCAGACTCTAAGTGACACATTGTTAAAATGCAAAATCAGAAAGCTATTTCTCCAGGAGGATGAGAAGACCTGCAGTCCAAGTAGCTCACCTCTCCCCAGGCAAGATAATGATGCAGGGCTGACACCTGTTACATGCTGATGGCTGTGGCCGTCCTCATCTGTATTTCTTGTGCTTAGATGAGCCGATTCTCTCCAGGCAGCCACAAAAAGGTCAGGACTGCTGCCTCTCCTTGGGCACAAGCAGCCAATGCCGCTCTGGAACCCCTGCCCTGGAAGGAGAGGCCAAGCAAGACGAGAGGCAGAATCTGGCCACTGCATGGCTGCAGCAGGGGCTGCAAGCAGATGGCGAAGGGAGCAGGATCTGGGGTTCAGCACCTGGATTTTGAGAGCATACATGTGATTTACTTAGATATTTTTTGCTTGTGGAACCCTTAGATATTCTACAATCCTTGTCTCATTGACACAGTTTACCTGGGTGAATGGACAAAATTCCTAAAGCCAGATAGGACACACCTGTGCTGAACAGGGCCGATTCCCTCTCTGCACGCTGAGGCTCCTGCCCCTGGTCGCTTCCCCAGCCCTAGGAAAAGGCCGCGGGGGCAAGGACGTTAACTTGGGTGTCATTGCTAAAGACAGAGCTGTCCCCTGGCAGTGGCTTCTGCCATCCTCAGTGCCAGCAGGCCTCACACAGCAGTAAAGACCCCACAGGCCACTGCCCCAGGCTGGGCTCAAGGCAGGGACAGACGCTCCTCCAGCTGCTGCCAGCAGGTACCAGGGGATTTAATTCAGGTGCTTCCACAATCATCAGGTGATCTGGAGGGGCAGAGGGAACTCTGAGTGTGAGAACACTGCACCACAACTCAGTCCAAGGGCCAAGAGCCCTTGATGCTACAGCTGTCACTGGACCCAGTGATGCTGGGATTGGCCTGGACCATGGTGACCAAGAGGTGCCAGTTCCTACCACTTTACCTGCCATAGAAAACAGAATAGACCAAAGGACCAGACGCTGAGATCTGCCTTGCTTCCACCCTCTGGGTGTCACACAACTATTGCTAATATGTAGATAATCTTTTTCAAAAAATTATTTATTTTTTATTGGAAAGGCAGATATACAGAGAGGAGGAGAGACAGAGAAGAAAATTTTCCGTCTGATGGTTCACTCCCCAAGCGGCCACAATGGCTGGAGCTGAGCCAGTCTGAAGCCAGGAGCCAGGAGCTTCTTCCAGGTTCAGGGTCCCAAGATTTTAGGCTGTCCCCCACTGTTTTCCCAGGCCACAAGCAGGGGGTTGGATGGGAAGTGAGACTGCTGGGATTAGAACCGGTACCCATATGTGATCCCGGTGTGCTCAAGGCACCAGGCCCATAAGTAGATAATCTTAATTGCCATCTGGAGCCCTGGGTACTAGGGGTTCTGGTACATGGTACCTCTGCAGTGCAGAAAGGCACTGGAGGAAGATGGGGAGGGAAGAAGAGGGAGAGGCAGCCAACCCCCAGATCTCCCACCACAAGACACAGACATGCAGAAGCTGCCCACACTCCATCTCCTACACTTCATTTGCCTATCCCCTCTTGGCTACCCTGGTCTCGGCTGTAAAGAACACACCCCTCATGGGCCACCCTGGGGCCAGATGTCACTCTACAGTGACCAGCTGTGGATCAGACACAGCACCCCCTTCTCTCTCTGGCTCAATCAAGGCCTGGAAGACCAGATGAAAAACTTTAGACAAAAAAAAAACATTTTTTGATGTTTATTTTCATCCTCTTTGCAAGGGAGTGAAAGCATCTATCTGTTGGTTCACATGTTCCCATTGTTCTCAGTCTGCAGGAGAAAGGAGGCTGGGCATCTCACTGCTTGGTGAAGATGGCCCCTGGAGTCCCCTGCTTTCAAATCATTGTGTGCTGACCTCTGGACACAGACAATAATATGCTCTAGGCCAGGCCAAAGCCAGGAAGGAGCCTGCAATTTCATTTGGGTCTCCCATGTAAGGGGCAGGGAGCCAACTGCTGCCAACCAGGGCATGTGTGAATAAGAAGCCAGGGCTTGAACCAGGCACCCTGATAATGAGATACATGTGTCCCAAGTGGCATCTCAGCTACTGTGTCAAATGGCTGTCCCTGAATACAAGACTTCCTTTAAAAAAAATCAATTATATTTGAAAGGCAGACTGAGAAAAGGAAAAGGATATACAGATCCAATGCACATATTCAGTTCCAGTTCCTTTCCAAAGCCACAAAATTAATGAAAACAAAGAACAGACAAGAAATCTCCACAAAATTTGGGAGCTGGCCTGATGGCTGAGTGACAGCTGATGCGGCAGAGCTGAGAAGTAGATTGGGTATGGGCAGTAGCTAGGGGACTGAAGACCACCGCAGCAGTCTGTGCTGGGAAGGCGGGAAGGCTCACAGCTTACAAGTACAGGAAAGACTGAGGCACAAATGACTTCACGAGTTAGGAAGAGCACATAGACCTTGCCATCCCCTCTCTGCCTCCTGTATCCAAGCAACACCCCCATGGCAGCCTATCCCGCTGAGGGTGCATTGCATGCAGAGAGGGCTGCCCAGCCTCTGCAAGCAGGGTACCCAGAAACCCCCCACCTCCACCACCCAGTGAGATGTCCAGTTCTCTCCTCTGGCACTCTTGCCCTGGGGACTACAGCAGGCTGAAGAATTCTTGACCAAGGGGTTCTCCATGGCCATTGGATTAACTGAAATTAAAAGTCCCAGGATGCTCTGATGAAAAGTTGGGTGAGGCACCAATTTAACTCCTCGCTTCAATGAAATTCACTAACCACCAGACCTTGTCCCAGACAGACCTACTTTTTTTTTTTTTAAGTTAAAGTGGCACTTGCCCTACTAGAGGATAAAACACATTCTAAACTGACAGGAGGGGGAGGTTTTGGGTGCTGTGGCTCAGGTACCACTTGGGGATGCCCGCATTCCGTGTCCGAGTGCCTGGGTTTGTCTTGGCTCTCACTCCGGCTCCCTGCTGATGCACACCCTGGGGGTGGGGAGTGGCAGATGATGGCGCATGCACTTGGGTCTCTGCTACATTTATGAGAGTCCAACATTGAGTTCCAGGTTCCTGAGTGTGGCCTAGCCCAGCCCTGAATGTTGCAAGCATTTGGAAGCGTGAACCAGAGGATGGAAGATCTGGGTCTCTGTGTCTTTCAATTAAATAAGCTAATTTGTTTTTAATTGTGATTGAAACAAGGTGGTCCCAATTAAGGAAAAAAGCACTTACTGAAATGCAGTCAGAGTCTAGAAACAGCTCATGGATTTCATATATGAGGAAGTATTCTTTTCAATAAGGGAAAATAATTGGTTAAAATTCAGTGATTTTTTTCTTAAATAAAAGCCAACCTCACAATATTCTCAAAGATAATTTCTAGATGGAATAATAATGTCTGGGTAAAACACACATTTGTAAAGCTCATGGAGGAAACACAGCAAATCTTGGAGTGAGGAGTTTCTAAGATTGATACAAATCTAAGAATCCATATAGGAAAAGGCTGACACATGTGAATGCAAAGGAGTCGTGTCCCATGCAGCCAAAGAGACCACACAAGACAGAACAGACATCTCGTTCTGGTCAGGGTGGAGTAACTCAACCAGCCCTTTCACCGAGAGCAACAGGAAAACCCTGGCACAGGAAACGGCCATTGGGCAAGAGGCGAGGGATCTGAGTCAGGGAATCACCCGATGAGGTGGCCCGTTCCAGACTCCAGCCTGGGCAGGAGGGCCCTCAACAGGGGGTGGTAGTCTCAAAAGCTAAGGAGAAAACATGGGAGTTGCAGGTTCTGAATCATGGGCCAGGGAGTGCAGGGTGTGACAAGCCAGGAGCCAGGCAGAGCAGGAGCACTGGGGCTCCGCCTGGACCTCAGGGTCTGTGCCCAGGATTCTGGCCATGTCCTGGGGATGGGAGCCTCCAGATCCGGCCCAACACTGCTTTGCAAATTCTAAGTTAAAGCAAACAGGAAGCTGAGTCCTGCACAGATGAATGGCAGATGCTGGCAGAGGCTGCAGCCAGAGACAAGTGAGAGTCAGAAAGCTATAGTTAGGGCAAGGCCAGCCCACAGGAGAGTGGTAAAAGACTGGAGTCATTCCAACTCCAGCCATTCCAGATCCCAAGGAACAGCTGCCTCGCTAGAACATCCTGTGATCTGCACCTCTCAGGAAGTTCCTATAGTTTTTAAAACCTCTATTACTTGCAACAAACTCAAAAGGACTAGTTCTAGGAATGCGCTGTGGGATAGCAGGTGAAGCTATTGTCCGTGGTGCCACCAACCCTACAGGAGCCAGTTCAAGTCCTAGTTGCTTCACTGTCCTTGAAATTTGTTTAGAAAATATGACTAATAATCAGTTAGTGTACACCAAATTCACATGCCTGACATGAAAACCTCAATACCAGGGATATTACAGTGGCATAGTAAGTGAAGCTGCCACATGTGGTGCCAATATTCTATATGGGTGCCTGTTCAAATCTCAGCTACTCCACTTCTGATCCAGCTGCCTGCAAATGGCCTGGGAAAGCAGCAGAATATGGTGTAAGTTCTTGGCCCAAACCCTGCTCTCTTGTGGGAGACCCGGAAGAAACTCCTGGCTCATGTGTTCAGGCTGGCCCAGCTCTGGCTGCTGTAGCCATTTGGAGAATCAATCAGTGAATGGAAATGCTCACTCTCTCTCTTCAATCTACCTCTGTAATCTCTGTAACTCTGCCCATATGGGTGCTGGTTTGTGTCCTAGCTATTCCACTTCTCATCCAGCTCTCTGTTTGTGGCCTAGGAAAACAGTAGAGGATGGCTCAAACCCTTGGGACCCTGCACCTGCATAGGAAACCCGAAAGAGGCTCTGGGCTCCTGGCTTCAAATCTTCTCAGCTCTGGCCATTGTAACCATTTGGGGAGTAAACCAGCGGAAGCAACACCTTTCTTTCTGTCTTTCCTTCTCTCTGTAAATCTGCTATTTCAATAAAAATAAAATAATTATTTTTTAAAAATGTATTGAGACACAAGGGACATTGAGGAGTCTGGGCCCATGCTGTGGTAGAGCAGGTTAAGCTGCAGCTTGCAATGCCCATATCCTTTATCAATCAGAGTGCTGGTTTGTGTCACAGCTACTCCACATCCAGTCTAGATCCCTGCTAATAAACCTGAGAGCGCAGCAAGCAGGTGGTCTGGGCCCCTGTCACCCACAGGGGAGACCTGGATGCAGTTCCTGACTCCTAGCTCCAGCCTGGCCCAGCCCTGCCTATTGTGTTCACTTGGGGAGTGAACCAGCAGTTAGAGGATCTCTCCCTGTCTATAACTCAGTCTTTCAAGTAAAATAATAAACAAACTCTCTCTGCCTTTCAAGCAAACATGTCTGTAAGACAGAGACCAAGGGAAGGAGAAGCTGTCCCAGGACAAGGAGCCAACACCCACACTCACTCAGACAGCCTTTATTACGGGCCTGCCATCTGGCAGGCCTATGCTGAACCAGGGGACACAGGGGCACTGGAAGGCTCTCCCCTGCAGCAGTCACTGATCCCACTAGGTCCCACGAGAGACACAGGGGAGGGTTTAAACAACAGGACAAAGCCAGAAAACCAAAAGGCCCATAGAAGGCCACAGAGACCAAATTGAGTCTGGAAGCTCCTAGGAGGTCATGGAGGTCATGCCGGCCATTGGAGTGCCCCTTCAGCTGTGCCTGCCCTCAGGCCGCCCCCAGGCCTGTGGGCATCTTGCACACCCAGTGATAGGAGGTATCACAGTCCATATCATTCCACTTCTTCTGGATGTGGACGCAGTCTTCATAATGCCCATTGCTGTGTCGCCAGTTGTCCGGCTGCTTCGCGTCCCACAGTCTGGGAACAACACGGCTTCATTTTGTTAGACAAAGGCAGCATCTCCCTCCCATGCTGGGACACAGGTCTGTTATCTTCCAGGGAACCCAGGACAGGGACAGGGCTGGGGCCCTGCAGGTGGCCCTGCTGGGCTTGCCTCAGTTGCTGAGGGTCCAAGGATAGGGAAAGAGCAGGGTCTATGAAGCTACACTGGCTTCTAAAAGAGAAGGGGTACCTTGGGGCCAGGCCTGATAAAAAAAAGTGGGAAACACAACCATAGGAAGACCCCTCTTGCAAGATACTTGCCAGCCCCTCTGCAGAGGGGTCTTAGGGGAGAACCCCAACCAGACCTGTGTATCCACACCTACCATTCACTCAGCAGCCACACCCACCAGCAGGGTGGGATACACACACAGGACTCAGGCACACCAGGGCAGGGCCACAGGGCGCTAGCCTCACCGTTGGCTCTGGGTGCTGCTGAACGGCGTCCCATCTGTCCAGCGCCAGGACCCCTCCGTGCCGCCATCAGTGAGGCCAATCCAGTGGAAACGGCTGCTTGTGACCTGTGTCAGGAACGCCTGCACAGACAGATCCGTGTTGTGCTTTGCCGCAGGGGGTGGGGAGGTGGAGAGTGGGAGAGACTGGTTCTCCTAGCTGTCCCCTGCAATCCTGGGGTCCCAGGAGCAACAAGGCCACTTCTCTGCAGAGTCAGGCCTGCTTCCTGCACCTGCCAAGCCCTTCCCAGGACCCAAGGTGGGAGTCTAGCCTCATCAGGGAAGTCCAGCTTCTCCCAGGTTGATTAGCTCCAAGGGACAAACAGTCCTGACATGGGACAGACACCAGGCTATAGCCTGATAAGATGTGTTTTCCTAGTCAGCGTGTCCTTTGTCAGGCCTACAACACAAGGGAGAGCCTTGAGGAGTGGGCAGCTGTGTAGGCTGAACTGACCCAGCCCACTGTGGTGCTGGCATCACCCTGGCCAGTTCCAACAAGGACCATGGCAGATGAGCCATCTGGGCAACATTGCCCTTGTGGGTCCCCAGATTCAGACATGCATGTGCCTAGCCTTTTAAGAAAGTCTGGGACTCCTGCTCCAGACCTGCCTGTGACCTCTGGACTGGGAAGGCAGCCCTGGTGAAAAGCAGGGCGGTGGAGGACCACTATAAGAGCAGATCTCTGGCGCCAGATCCTCCTCCCTCCCCTCGGCTGACATCTGTTGGCTCTGGGGTCTCCCTTGTTCACCCAGGACACGGTAAAGGGGAAGCAGGATGCTATCAGGCCTTCTGCCTCCAGTGTAAGGTGACCCTCACAGAGAAGACCTGGGGAGAGGGCACCTTTGCCACACCCACTGGGGAAGGAGGTCAAAGTTCACAAGTTCCACATCACACGACAACTCCCCCAAGCCCGGGGTCTCACACAGCCCTCATACACACCAGCCCAGGTCTGTGTGCAGCTCTCACCTGCTGTAGCCCAGGGCCACGTACAGCATTCACCTGCCCCAGCCCAGAGCCGCATGCAGCCCTCACCTGTCCCAGGCCAGGGCTATATGCAACTCTCACCTGCTCCTCCCCAGAGGTCACCGAAGCCAGGTGGGTTCCCTGGGACACACAGAACTGCTCAGCCTGGTGCCAGGATTTCTTGTCCTCAGAGAAGTAATACAAGTTGCCTCTGTAGAACTTCCAGCCTTCCATGTACGCACGTAGAACTCGAGCTGTGGCCAAGATGGGGAAGGAGAGGAGCTGACTGCAGAGAGTCACAAGTCTGGGGAGCCCTGGGAGCAAAGTCTGGAGGCCACTCAGCTGTCCCCTACCTGGTACCCCAGGAAGTAGCTCCCCAACACTGACTGTTTCCAGGCAACTCAGCTTGGCTACCAGACCCTTTCCAGGCACCTGCTCTCTGCCCCTGACCCATCTGCTCTCTCCCAGCTCATGGCTCCCACCTGACAATGCTCACCTCCAACCTGCCATCCCATTCCTGCTCTTCGCCCTGGAGACTGTGCAGCCACCTCCTAGCCTCACCTAGTTCTGACTCCATCTCCACCTACTGCAGCATCCCATGCCCAGGTATGGATGCCCAGGTGACGTCATCCTCACCTGCTTTGCTTGCCAAATTCTATTTGTTCCCTTTAATTTTCTTTATTTTCACACATTAGAAAATAAAACACACTACACAGTAGGTTCTTCATAGTAGATTACACCTGGGCTTATTCAGACTAGCTCTCAACGTGTCACCAACATTGTAGGGGCTAACTCAGCCAGCAACTGGTGATCAGGTAGCCAATATGTTGACTTAAATGCAATCATTTGCAGCCCTCGGTACAGAAGGTTCAGCCCCTCTGTTCTAAAATTATGCTGAATGGCATTGGTGTCTGTATTTACAGACTTGAATTGAAATGGATCGATCCTAAACAGTGCGGATGTGTGTGTGAGACCAGCTGATGGGAGCCTGGGTCCAGATTTTAAATGGGAGCTCCAAACAGCAGTAGGCAAGTTATTTTCATTCTTTCCATCATGAACTCTTTGCTGTAGGTCACACAGTCAGATCCTTCTAGAAGAACTAAGCCAAGTAACTGTAGGTGATACCTGAATGCATTCTAATAGCTCCATCTGTGCGCACTTGCCCCAATCTTCTCAGCTCCCCCAGCTTTCTCTGTCCCACAGCTGTTTGCCATGGGTCCATGGGGACTCCTTATTCATGTGTGCTTTCACCAAGGTCTGTGGTGCCAGAACACAGCCCATAGGAAAGCTGGGACAGTGGAGGCCTGTGGGACCCAGTTAAGAGGCTCCAGGAAAGAAAAGACGAAAGGCCTCTCCCCCACAGTGTGCTCCTGCCTCCAGTGAGTCCTTGGATGTGCTTTCGTGCTCTCCCTGGCACTGCAGGTGAAGGATTAACTTGCTCCACTACAGCACCAGCTCGAGAACCATCAGTATTCTGCAGCCCCTGCAGGGGCTGATATTGGGTAACACAGTAAGTTAAGCCACTACTTGTGTCATCAGGCTCAAATGCCAGCTGCTCCACTTCCTATCCAGCTCCCTGATAATGAGAAAGCAACAGAAGGTAGCCCAAGAGCTTGGGCCCTTGCCATCCACGTGGGAGCTCCTGGCTACGTCTTGGCCCAGCCCTGCCCCTTACAGTCATATAGGAATGGAACCAGTAAGTGGATGATTGTTGGTGCATGATAAGAGCTGCATGAGGCCCTGGACTGGAGCAGGTGAAGGCTGCTCAAGGCCTAGGGCTGTGGTAAGTGAGAGTTTACCTGAAGGGGGGTGAGCAGAGGCTGAAGGGACAGAAAATCATCCTGCCATGAGACTGACCCTCCCTAGCAGGGCCTCTCCCCACTCCACTCACCTTGCGTCTTGTGCAGCTGCTCCTGGGAAGCCAGGGCAGTCTCCAGGCGACGCTGCTGCTCTGAGACGGCCTGCTTCAGGTCATTCTCCAACACTCGGGCCTGGGAACTCAGCACCTCAGTGTCCGCCATTCCTTGTCTTAAAGTCTCAATCTCTCTGCTGGCTTTGTTCAGCTGATCTCCGAACGCCTGGATCTGGGAAGTGTAGCTGTTGACATCTTCCAGTTTTGCCTTAAGCAGCTGGAACTGAGCATCTGTCTGGGTGGTATGATTTTCCAGGTCTTCTTTCAACAAGAGGATCTCGCTGCCAGCACCTCCCATACGGCCTCTCAGGACCTGGAGCTCAGCAGTGACACTGTCCAGGCTGCCTTGGAGTGAGGTCTGGGTCTGCGAACTCCAGGTGCTGGCAGCCTGGAGTGCATCCCGAACACTCTGCATGTCAGCACTGGCGTTTTCCAGGTGGCCACTGAGCACCTGGAGCTGAGAACTGATGTTATCCACTCGGCACATCAACATCTGGATCTCCCTTCCCCAGGGGCTGGAATTCTCCACGTGGCTTTTAAACATCTGGATCACCTCTTGAACCTCTTTGATATTGTCAGTGTGGGAATAATCTGGAGGGAAGAAGTGGGAAAGGCAGCCCTGTCTGGGTTAGCCAGAGTGTGCTGGGCAACCATGCAGACACAGCCCTGAGTGTCCCATCACTGCCACTAGGTCTGGGAATGGGCCAGTTTAAAACTTTAGAAAAAGATGACTGACCTATAGTTACAGTGGCAAATCCACAGATGCTGGGAGGTTAGGGGAACAGGGAGGATGTGGGCACTACAAAGCCACAGGTCAACTTTTGGGAGTGCAGGATGATGAATGTTTATTAATCTGATATAGTGACAGTCACCACATTCACATATGTTAAAACTGAGCAGCCCATATGCTTTAAATGTGTGCACTATCCTGCGTGCCACTCTACCTCAAGACAGCTCAATTTTGTGGTGAATAGTCTTTCTTAAGTGGGCCTTGCAATGTCTCAGTGGCTAAATCCTTTCCTTGAATACGCCGAGATCCCACATAGCCCCTGGGTTGTATCCAGGTTATTCCATTTCCCATCCAGCAACTTTTTATGGCCTGAGAAAATAGTAGAGAATGGCCCAAAGCCTTGAGACCCTGCACCCACATGGGAGACCCAGAGGAGGCTCCTGGCTCCTGGCTTCAGATGGGTAAAGCCCCAGCTATTGCAGCCACTTGGAGAGTGAACCAGCAGATGGAAGATCTTTCTGTCTCCCCTTCTCTCTGTAAATCTGCCTTTCCAATAAATATAGCATAAATCTTTTTTTTTAAGTTTTTCTCCAGGTGATGCTGCCAATAGATTTGCATATAATAGTTACGTGTTTACTTCCTACAATTTACAATAGTATTTTCCCCTGAAACATGTAGGTACAAAAGCTAAGTAAATAATGAGGTACTGCCATTTGGGATGTATCAGAGGTTATAGCTTAAAGAACTAAACTTTACCAAATACTCAAAAAGTGAATCTGGATGAAACTGACCGTTAAATACTTTCATTAGCCACACACACACACACACACACACACACACACACACACACACACAATTTCACCTCAAACTGCCAATGCAGTTACTGTTTCTGGAAAGATTATTTTTTACGACTGGGACAGTAGCACCCACCAGGGAGAGGCTCAACCTAGGGTCTGAACAGTTGAATGCTCCCACTCCCTCCCAGCTCCTCCATCCCATGCCTCCCACCCCTGCCATGGCTACTCACTATTGGGATCCACAGGTGACTGCCCAGTTGCATTGTCTCCCAGAAGCATGGCTTGAAGCCTTTGGGCCTCGGGCGCAGGTCCTTGGGACTGCAGAGCTGAGAAATCCATTTCCTGAGTCAGTGCAACACCAAACCCAAGTCTGGGAGAGCAGGCTGCCCTGGGTCCCATAAGGGTTTCAGAAGGATGGAGTAAGTACTAGGACCCTCTCTGAATATTCATTATGAACCCCAGTTCTTGGGAGACTCCCCTGAGGACAGCAGCCTATCTGTATGGTTTGGGCCTGGGACCAGGAATGGATGGGCCCCTCTGGGAAGAGAGAGACTCAGAGAAAGTGCATCTGGGGCCGCTGGGCCTCTGTGCAAAAGGGAGATACTCAGAGGGCTCAGGTCAGCTGGGGACTTACCCATCACAAAGACAGCCACCAGATAGGAGACTATGATCATGGCCAAGAGCACAATGGTGGCCTGGACAAACCTCAGCCTCCTTAGGGCAGCAGGAGCTTCAGGTGTGGAGTCTGCCCCTGCAGGAGAGAAGCCAGGGCCCTGGATTTGAGAAGGTGCTGGGTGGGCCAGCCGGCGTCAGCCCCACTGACTCAGTCTCCATCTCCAGGTCCAAGCTAGGGTTATGAGAACAGCTGCCACACTTGTCACACGTGGGTTACAGAGAGGGAAGATAGGGTACTTGAACTGATTGCAGGGAGACAGCTCTGCATACACGGTGGTACAATCCAATCGGGGGCCCTCAGCACCTGCAGGAGTTTCACAGGTGCATAGGGCATGGAATAGGGCTCAGAGGGAAGGACAGCAAATGTGTGGCTTGAATGAAAGGAGGAAAGATGAGAGGGAGGGCAAGAGAGAGGAAGAAGGGGAGAGAGGAAGAGTGGGAGGACTGAGCCTGCAGACCTACAGTCAGTCTTGCTCATGAATCCTGTGGGCAAAAGTCACGGGCTTTGGAGTGGCCCTGCTGCTCCCCTGTCCATGCTAACACAGGTTAGTCCCAGAGCCTCCTCTTCTAGGTCCAGAATGTTCTCCCTGGCTTGCCTGTTCGTGTTGGGGACTGTGAGCAGAAATGAAGGGTGCACTGAGAAACCCACCCAAGGTGCAGAGAGAGAGACCAGCTCCAAGACCCTGCAGCCTCATCAGGTTACAGAGCTGAGATTCAAAACCAGGTCTATCTGGGTCCAGCATCATAGGACAGTGGGTTAAGCCACTGTTTACAATACTGATATTCCCTATTACAGTTCGTTCACATCCCAGCTCCTCTGCATCTAGTTCCCTGATAATAAGCCTGGGAAAGCAGCAGAAAATGGCCCAAGTACTTGGGCCCTTATACCCACATAGGAGACCTGAATGGAGCCCCAGGCTCCTGGCTTTAGTCTGATAAAGCACTGGCCTTGACAGCTGTTGGAAGCATAAACCAACAGATGGAAGATCTCTTTCTCTCCCTCTTCTGTAACCCTGCCTTTCCATTAAGTGAAATAAAAGAAAGCCAAATCAAGCTCATTGGAATTCAGAGTTCACCCTCTTTTCCTTGTCAGGTAGCCATCTCTGAGGGACAGGGTCTGGGGAGCTCTCACAGGACTGTGCTTAGGTGTCTGTCCTTTGCCCCTCTCACCTCCTGCCCTTACCTCTTAGGCTGGGAGAGGGTAAGTTCTGGCCATCCAGGCTCAGAAATGGCAGCAGGCTGGTGAGGGCGGGGGTGGGAAGCAGGCTGGTAGTCCCTGGCTGGGTAGGGTCGGGTCCAGCCTCCTCACCTTGGGGCTGAAGGAAGACACACTGTTCCTCTGTGCAGAAATGGACGGTGTCACTGCTCATTGCTGTGGCCTTCATCCTCCGACACTGCTCCCAGCCTCTGGCTCCAAAGGGTTGACCTGTGGGACAGGCAGGAATGAACACAGAGCTGAGAGACCCGGTTTTTATATGCAGCAGACAGGGGTCCCCAGCACCCTTGCAGCTCTGCCTGCCCCCTGCTGATTATGCATAAATTCACCCTAGATTGGCTCCTCCCCTCAGGGCTCCGTCCAAGGCACCGATCTGCACACAGTCCCACCCTCTTCCTCTTCTGAACAGCTCCTTGTCTGTGTCCATCAGCATCTCAACCTCAGCCGTGCTCGCCCCTTGCCAGTCTGAGTCACTCACCTGTTCTGTGTGCTGGGACTGCAATGTGGACCTCTAGTTTGCAAAGAAAACATCCGTGTACCTGTAGTTGACCCTGAATCCCAGCCTCAGTCTCTCTGAAGTAAAAGAAGCAACAGCCGGGGCCCACGCGATAGTCCAACAGGTCAAGCCACCACCTGCAACATCAGTATCCCATGTGAGCACCAATCCCGGCTAATCCACTTCCCATCCAGATCCCTGCTAATGGCTTAGGAAAGCAGTAGAAGATGATTCAACTGCTCAGAACCCCTGCATCCAGGTGGGAGACCAGGATAAAGTTCCTGGCTTCTGCCTTCAGCCTGGACCAGTCCTGGCTATTATGGGCATTTGAGGAATGGACTAGCATGCAGAAGATATTCTCATTCTCTCTCTCTCTCTCTGTTATTCTGCCTTTCAAATAAATAAATAAATCATATATATATGCAAAAGTACTTCAAAAGCATACATAAAATGGAACTAGAAGATGACCTTATTTTTGTGCAAGAATTTTTAAGTCCCTGATGAACCTTTCTATGGCCTCTTCATCTGACTGTATCTTTTCCAGCGAGCCTGAAGGGTAAGTCTAGTGTCTAGTGCCAATCAATGTGGGAACTGCAGGGGTGTCATGAAGCTCCCCAAGATTGCAGTCTGCCAGGTTGAAGTGTTCACCCGAGGTGGGGTGATCCTGGAAAACACAGCTGTCAACCAGGGCCATCTGCTTTGGGGGAGTTGCCATCCATACAAAATGGCATTGTTGGGTACCCAGTTGGGTCAGAAGTGGTGTCCCAATATACCAGGCAGTGCCCAACCTGACCAAGATTGCACCTTTAGCTGAGAGGACTCATGCCCACCCCTCCAGCTGATGAGGCTCTCAGGACTAACTCAGAGGAAATATGTACAAACCTGGTGCCCAGCTGCTGCTCTCTCATGAGAACCAAGAGCCACAACTTCCAGGAGGAAGTCCTGCTGCTCCAGGGCCTTCATTGGCAGAACAAGAAGGATGGTGTTTGTGGGAAGTGCCCTGAAACGAGCCTGACATCTCCTGATGTTCAACTAGCTGAACTCAGCCTGAGTGTCCAAAGCCAGATCTGGGGACTTAGGCAGTTCTTGATCCTTGACTTCTCTCTCCCCATTACTTCAGACGGCCACAGTCTCACTGAAATGGATCAGGCTGAACACAATGAATAAAAAGGGTTTTTTTTTAAGATTTATTTTTATTATTTTTTCATTGGAAAGGCAGATATACAGAGAGGAGAGACAGAGAGGAAGATCTTCCGTCCGATGATTCACTCCCCAAGTGAGCACAATGGTCGATGCTATGCCGATCCGAAGCCAGGAGCCTCTTCCGGGTCTCCCACGCAGGTGCAGGGTCCCAAAGCTTTGGGCCGTCCTCAACTGCTAACAAATAAAAAGTTGAATATACATTAGCTGTCAGTACCCATCAGAGCAACCCTGACAGCCGTCAGTCACAACCTTGCCAATGTCTTATTCCATCTGCATTGTGTTGGGGTTTTCTCCCTAATTTCACCCTCGGTTCCTATGCCCCATTCTCATGGCTTTTTCTTTTCTTTTTTAAAATCATCTTTCTCTCTTTTAAAGGTTGATGTTCTTAATTTATTTGAGAGGTATAATGGAAGAAAAGGCACACACATGTGCACACACAGAGCAGAAATGGGGGTGGGAGGAAGAAAGACAGAGAGAAGGAGGGATAGAGGAAGGGAGAAAGAAAGAGAGAATCTCCCCCCTGCTGGTTCGCTCCCCAAATGGCCATGAAGATTGGAGCCGGGCCATATAGAAGCCAGGAACGAGGAATTTCACCAAGTCTCTCCCACATGGGTGTCAAGGCGCTTGGGCCATCTTGTGCTGCTTTCCCAGGTGTGTTATCAGACAGCTGGGTCAGAAGTGGCACAACCGGATCATAAACTGGTGCTCTGATATGGGATGCTAACATTGCAGGAGGTGCCTTTACTCACTGTACCACAATGCCAGCTCTACCAACATCTTTTTCACAAGAGTTACCCTTCCCTGAGTTCCTGGGTACTAACTTCAATGGCTGTTGACCAGCTCCAATGGTGGAGAAACCTCCCTCTGAGATGGGCCAGGAGTGCAGCTGTGATGTGATGTGATCTGCAGTTGATGTAGAGAGGGGAGCAAGCATGTACCTGCACCTGGCTCGGAATGCTATGTAGGTATACATGCATGCATATGCCTGTGTGTGTGTGTGTGTGTGTGTGTGTGTGTGTGTGTGTGTGTGTGTGTGTATTAAGCTGGTCAGGGGAGACATACGGAGTATAGGGCACAAAGCTGCCATCTGCTGGCCTTTTACCTCCTGACTATCGGAAGCTGTCCTTAGTCTGAAGGTGCTATTTCTGGCCCAGCCACCTGTTCTGCCTGAATCCCCAGCAAGCCCTTCTCCTCCAGTTTGGATGGGAGCTGCAGGAGCTGCCCTCTCTTCACCCATCCCCAATGCCTGTCAGATACCAGGAATCCACAGAGCAGAAGAGCCTGTTTCAGTTTCAATTCCCCATATACAGGAAGGGCTGCGCAGGTACCCCTGGGGGAATCAGTTCCTTCCAGAGAGTGGTAGAGTTTGCAAAGCAGAACCCTGGGATCCCTTGCTCAGCTGGCAGGGAGGAGACAGGGTCAGCCAAGGAGCAGAGTCTCCCTGGCTAGCTGCAGCAGGCCTCCCCCGCTTCCCTTCCTGGCCCCTCCCCCTGCCCCCCAGCCCCAGCTGCTACATCTCCCCTAAAGCAGAGAAGAACGTTCCAGAGCTTTCTCTGTTCCCTGGCACTTCCTCCAGTGATTACAGAACCACTGCACAGCTGGAACTGTCCCAGTGCAGGCTGCAGAGATCTGGGTTGCGGGAAACCCAAATAGCAGTCACTCACGTGCCCAAATGGCTTCCTCTTGCCCTTTAAATAAAATTCAGTTTCCATGTGACTTTGGGGTCCTAGCATGAGCTGCCTCACCCCGCTTTGGTCCACATGCTGTGTTCTTTCTTTGCATTTTCTGTTCCCCCTTTCTTTCCTCATTTCCGTCCTGTGACCCTGCTAAGTGTCTAAAGCCTTCTCATTATTCAAGGCACGGTTTACCTGCTGCTCTCTCAGAAAGGCCTCACTTTGGGGTCCCACAGAACAACAAAAAGCATTTTGCAGGGGGTGGTGGTGGAGTGTGGGCTGGAAAGTAGAGGGGGGCACTGCGGAATAACAGGTTAAGCTTCCACCTGCAGCACCAGCATATGGGCACTGGTTCAGGTCCCAGCTACTTCTTTTTTTTTTTAAGATTTATTTATTTTTATTACAAAGTCAGATATACAGAGAGGAGAGACAGAGAGGAAGATCTTCCGTCCAATGATTCACTCCCCAAGTGACTGCAACAGCTGGTGCTGCACCGATCCAAAGCTAGGAACCTGGAACCTCTTCTGGGTCTCCCACATGGGTGTAGAGTCTCAAAGCTTTGAGCTGTCCTCGACTGCTTTCCCAGGCCACAAGCAGGGAGCTGGATAGGAAGCGGAGCTGCCAGGATTAGAACCAGCGCCCATATGGGTTCCCGGCATATTCAAGGTGAGGACTTTAGCCACTAGGCCATGCCGCCGGGCTCCAGTTACTTCACTTCTAATCCACTTGCCTGCTAATGGCATGAGAAAGCAGTAGAGGATGGCCCATGTCTTTGGGCCCCTGCACATGTGTGGTGGGAGACCTGGGAGAAGCTCCTATCCCTAGCTGTTGCCACCATCTGGGAAGCAACCTAGCAGATGGATGATCTGTCTATCTCTCTGTCTCCCTGTGCTGTTCTTTCAAATAAACAATCTTTAAAAAAAGAAAGAAAGAAAGAAGCATTACTTTTCAGAGAAAGAAATATACCAGCTATCATTAAATAATATAGGTGGTTTTCCCTTAAAATAAAGTCATTCATTTTAAAGTTTAATGATTCAAAAAAAGTGATTTTAAGAAATAGAGAAATTGGTTGGAGAGGAGGGGAGAGTTGGGGGGGCCTGCAGTGGGAGAGGCAGAAGGAAAAGAGAGAGAACTGAAGGCCTCAGCAAGGTCCCAATGAGGCTGCTCTGCCTGCTGGCTGGGGTCCTGGCTGGGTGCAATCTGCAAGGGAGCCCACGGCACCCCAGAGTCCAGGGCCCTACCCTGACCAGCTGGTGACATTAGGATGGTGCTGCTCTCCCAGGCTGCTTTGTAAAGGACAGAGCAAGTGCTGGACAACCAGCAATTTAGACAAACACACACCAGGGAATAGCTAACACTCCAAAGTACTGGGACGATAAAAGCAAACAAAGCAAAGCATATACAATGACAGAGAAAGATCAGACAGATAGCTAGAGCACAAAAGAGGAAAAAAAATTTAACGAGATTTTCAGTGTACACAATAGTTCATATCGGTCAGTGCAGGTGACTCAGGTCTGTTCCTTTTTCATATCTGAAAATGTATGTGTAACTTCTCAAGTGTATCTTATTGCCACTTGGAGCAAGAGCAGGTCAAGCTCTGTTAGCATGCACGTCAGAACATATAACAACGCAACAGCCTTCTCACCTGTCCCTGACTCCCAGTTCCACAGTGGACCATGGGAAGATCCCCAGGATCCCAGCAGAAACACTGTGGAGTGTATGACCTGAGGAGCCACCACAAGAGCGTCTTGCCCACCCCTCAGGGAGACAAGTCTAAGGCACTGAGGATGGGGAGACATGTCCTGCATGGCCTACTGCCAGCAGACACAGGGTGCAGT